GATTTGTGTTTCCAATCTTGCACAAAGCACAGCATCAGGTTACAAGGGGGGAGCATAAAATCTGCTCTGGGAGCATGTGGTTACTCCTTATTTAGCGGAATGGTCACTTATGAATGTTGGCAGTCAGGACTGGGATTCCCTTCCTATTTAGCAAATTTAAGCTTGTCCTCGTACACGTCATCAAAAGGTCCCTTCCAAACCTTAGCTCTGTACATTTTGTTCTGCACCAAAGCCAAACCGTTTAGTCGCTTGTAGGCAAGTCATCGGCTTAGATTCTAACATTTGTTTTCTTGGGAAAAAGAAATGAAGATAGTAAAGGGGCGCTCAGCTCACTCATCTGCGTGTTACAAAGGTATCACTTGGAAATTCAAATATCAACAATCCATTGATATATTTTAATTTTGTAAAGATTGTCACATCATGTCATGCATTGCTAACATTTCGGGTCCACACAGGGATCCTTCATCAGAGCAACATAGTGACCTTGAGCACCACAGATACTTTTATGCTGTAAGACCATAGGAGTGTGAATGGTATTTGGAACCTACATTTAAAGGTGACTCTAGTTTTCATACTAGCAATCATCTCCTCTGCCTGGCTAACCCACTTGAGCTCGCCACGCATGTTACCATCTGATTATACAATCTTCTTTAGATCTACCAACAATTATGTAGTGCAAGGACCTGCCTGATTGGATATAACATTGGTTGGGTAGTTCAGGTAGGTCCTCATGTTACATAGTTTTGGTGGAGCTAAAATTGATTGTGTAGAGATTGTATGGTCACATAGAGTGGTCACATAGAAGAGAAGACTGAGGCAATGCTTCTTCCTGCCTACAACAGACCGATGACACCATTTCAGCCTCGACTAGAGCTAAAGTGGGGCTTTATAATGATAAAAGGTAAAGCTTTTCTGTTGCTGTTTATGCAGAAGACGTGTTAGCAAGTTATTCAGGCAGACTTTCAAAGTTGCTGCAAGGGTCAAAGGTGAAAGTTGACGTGAAGCTACAATCCCAGGGAATGGTTACATTTCCTATAACCCATTCCTCCCAGCTGTTTGAGAGGGGAAAGAGGGACACCCTTTAGCACAAGGTTTGTAGGCAGGGGCCGGTTTGTAGGCAGGGACGGGTGTCACCCAGTCTCCAGACCGGGGGACACCACGCCGTGTCGTCATCGCGCGCGCACAATGGCGTCATTGTGCATGCGCGGCCATCTGATTGACGCTTGCAGGCGGCCATCTTAGTGATGGACGCCGGCAGAGAGAGGAGGGGACGTTCACCCGGCGGGATGAGGTATGCCGCCAGCTCCACTCCTCTCTCTTGACACTGACGGGCTCTCTGTCCATGACCGAGTGGATGACTTTTTAGAGCGGGTGACACCAAAATGATTGTCAGTCATTTTGGTGTCACCCCTGCAATGGTGTCGCCCGAGTGCGGATCGCACCCCCCTTGTGACGCCACTGTGTGTAGGCAAAAGACACAACCACCCCCAATTACATAAACCATGAAGGATTAATAAGCAAAAAATTATTGGCCAAACCTAAAGTTGCTTTCTTCATCACAACGTTTCCTTTATACTGGCTTTTTAAAATGATAATGTGTTAATAAAAAGATCTACATGAAAGGTTTAGGGTTGGGTAACACTTTTTGTAGCTAAGTATTGCAATTATGAAGAGGTCTACATATCTGTCCAAGAGAGACAGCTGAGCAGGAAAGAGGGACAGAGGGATTTGGTTCTAAAAGAAGAACAGTCCCTTCAAATCAGGGACATTTGGGAAATATGGAATGGCAGCTCCATGTGTGCTTCAAAAATGCTAGCCCTGCAAAAACTTGGGTTATCACCAGTACCAGATGTGAGGGCCTTACTTCACTCTATTCATAACCTAAAAAATAAATGTTTAGAGTTGGGACCTTTGGGCCCCAAACAAAAAAACTAACAGTGTTATTCACTAAGGCCCCATTCACATTGAGCGATTCGCAAATCGCGTGTTTGTCGCACGATTTGCATTTTGCGTGATATCGCGCAAATGCTTGCATTGAGCAAGCTAGAATCGCAGCAAAATCCGCTCCAAAAAGGGTCCTGCTGTAGCGACGCACGACCCGTGACAGCTACAGACAGAGCCCCATTGCCATGCATTGGAGAGCGATATCGCGCGGTAAATAGCCGCAATATCGCGGGAATTACCGCGCGATAAATCACTCAGTGTGAACGGGGCCTAAAGGGTGAAGAGTTTGGAGGAGGCATAAGAAGTGAGCAATCTAGGACAACATAGCTGATTTGGAAAAATTCTCCAATTCAGCTCACTTTCCAGTTCAGCTATGTTGTCCTAGATTGTTCACTTCTCCTGCCTTCTCCAAACTCTTCACCCTTTAGTGAATAACCCTGTAAGCCTTACATTGTTTTGCAGGCACCTCCAAATGCATCGGCATGGGTCTCCTGCACGGTTCCCAGGGATCCCCCCCAAAATCCAGGATGTCACTGGCTGGTAGGATGTCACCTGGTCACTGGCTATGATACCCCCTCCTCCTGCCTCAGGTGCTTTAATAGTGACTTCACTAAGCATAAATAAGGCGCATGTGGTGGTTGGTGGGTGCCAGGGCTAGTGACCACATAGCTGGCTACCTGGGTAGGAGTCCCAGAGGTACCTGCAATTAAGTTTTGTGTGTGGTTCAGTACCCAGGTTTACATTACAGCTAGCCAAAGTTCACTGGGTAAGTGCCAATAAACTTCTAGCTCCATTCAACCATTGTAACTCTGATGAGTAGATCTTTCTGCTGTTTTTTTAACAGAGATTCCAAACTGGGAATAATCATAGCTAAGAATTCCTGCAAGATATTATCATCATAGCACCCTTGTGATAGCAACAAGCCAAAGGGGGATTTAGTCCACCGCCATCCACCCATCACTGAAATGGCATTGGCTACTTTAGATGACACCTTTCATTGGTTACCACTACTGCTCGCTACTAATTGTAATAGATACAGTCTTTCCTGCAGCACATTGTTGTTTTGCAAATGACAATACATACGAATTCAGCAAATTCCCTTCTACAGGGAACCGTCCTGAAAACATGTCACTTAAAGGTGCAGGCAACTCAGTTATTGCATTTGCAGGGCAAGTATTGTAAAACACACATGGGGCTACCATTGCTGATCCCCTTCTGCAGATGCCAGTTGCCTGGCTGTTTTGCTGAGCCTGTGGCTGCAATACTTTCTGAGCTGGATGAAATAAATGTCTGATTTTTATGTTGTAACCTACAATAGGAAAATAAGATCTGGGGGCTGACTGCAGGATACATGACCACTTTCACTAGAAGCTTTTGTCTTAAGATGATCATAGCAAATCGCAACAGCATTACATAACCCATAGCAAACCATCAGAAGTATTCGTTTGTTATTTAATGGCAATATACATATATATCTATATAGATATATATCTATATATTTACAGTATATATATATTCAGTATATATGTACTGCATAGTACCCTATGCTATGAGCTACTGCTCTTGCCTAAGGGACTGCATCAAGTAGGAAAAGTGTTGACCACAGAAACCAATGTAATCCTTTAAAGCAGAACTATGAGATGAGTGATTTCCACTCACCTCAAACTAACCCTTTCATAACCAGGTGTCATTGATGCCCAGTCAAAATTTTGCCTCAGTATTGGTTAACTTCACTTAAATTATTTGATTAATCTGCATAGCTAAATAATTTGTATGAATCTTTCAAGGCCATATAAGGCTTTTACATATTATACTGATTTAATAACAACTCTGCCCTGCTTTTTATTATTAAACAACGGCAGGCTGATAGCTTATTTTGTCCCTGAAGCCTCCAGCTTGCATGTGATTACTCTGTCATAACTGATATAGTGATCGAATGACCAGGAAACACTATGATTGGTTTCTGATCTTCAGTGGAGATCAGAGCTGCTTGTGGCAGCTGGGATGAAGAGCCGCTCAAAGTGTTGGCTGGTGTCTCTCAAAACAAGGGCGTTTTTTACCATATCCCCAGCATAGGGCATCTCGCTGGATATATATCATCCCTCACTTTTAGTCTCCGTTCACACCTAGACATTTTGTCGCTCAACGGTAAGAGCGACAAAACGTTCCACACAAGGAATCCCATTCATTTCTATGGCCCTCGTTCACACCTGAGCGTTTTGTCGCAAGCAGAAAACCGCCTGATGCTGGAAAAAGTACTTTTTGAAAGCTTACAGAGCTTTTTGATCCCATAGACTTCAATGAGGAAGCTACGTGCGACAGAACGCTCAAGTTTGAACAGGAGCCATGGAAATGAATGGGATTCCTCGTCTTGAGCAATTTGTCGCACTTAAGATAAAGCGAATGGGATTCCTTGTCTTGAGCGTTTTGTCGCGCTTAGCTTTGAGTGACAAAACGCGTATGTGTTTCAACGGGGACCTAGGCTGCCTGCATATGTGATTTCAACAGGAGCATGGGAAATAATAATAATAATAATAACAAATTATATATGATAATAAATAAATAAA